GTCACGTGTGGGTTTTCTCCACGTGCTCTGCAGCTCCGCCCTCAGAAGGATGCTGTCTGTGGTGCTGTGACCAGCTGGTCTACAGGAAACCAATCCCTTAGGCAAAGAGTCCCAGCCCCAGCGTGTGCAGAGCTGCACAGCATCACCAGGGACACCAGCAGGCGTGCTTGGGCTGTGTGAGTGTGCCCGACAGCTGTAGGGAGCACAGCAGAGATGTGAACAGAGAAAATAAAAGTGTGTTTCTTTTCCGTTCCAGCTTGTCACACCTACGCTGATGGCTGTGGCGTGCAGCGAGATCAGCTGTGGGCCTGACCTGGCACGGACAGAGGTAGAGTATGAAGCTCTGATTGGTCTTTGTTCCCTGACTGCAGCCAGCAGAGTGAGCCGCAGATGTGCTCTCCTGCTTTCCAAGAGAGCTCCTCTGTGGCAAGACAGTAGTGCAAGCGTGGCAAGTTTATAAACGTACCAGAGCCATCTCGGCTGTTGTGTTTGTCCTCTACTGACTTTTCTCTTGAAATGGCTGCAGAAACAACAATCATTCTCTGCTCTGTTTGGCCTCGCTGTTGGTTGGACTGCTCAAGAGAGCTGCTTGGTGCTTGCAATGGCACTGTTTGCACCTTGTAACTGCAGCCGTAGCTTTGGTTTCCCTCTTCACGGTCTCCTAGCATCTTAAACAGTCAGCCTTCCTGCACAAAGAGCGCAGGAAAGGAGGGGGCAAAATGGATAAGGCCACCTGTCTGCGTCAGTGCCATTGCTGATTAGTCTGGGTGGGGAGAGATGCAGCATTGCCCGGCGTGTGCCTGCTGCACACCAGGGAGAGAAACAGCCGTTATTAGACTTGCAGTTGTTGGTTACCAGCTCCTCACCGTGGCCTGTGCTCTCTGTTTCAGACTGAGAACAAGGGGAAGCCCCTGCTGGACCATGAGGTGGCACCTGTGAATGTTCCAGCTATTGCTGCTGCCCATGCTATTAAGAGATACGTTGCCCAGGCAGCGGATGAACTCTCCTTTGAGGTAAGCAGTTCAAGGCGTTCCTTGTTGCTCAATTCTACAGTGGCAAATGCCTTCAGAGCTGCACTGGTGCAAGTGGTCTCAAGCTCGGCGATGTTTGGCAGTGCAGAAGAATGCAGACATTTGAGCTGTGCTTTCCTCCCAGCCGTGCTGAAGCTGGGATTGACGTTGCAATCTCTTGCAGGTGGGAGACATCGTGTGTGTCATCGACATGCCACCAAAGGAGCTGACCCCCTGGTGGAGAGGCAAGCTCGGCTTCCAGGTAGGCACAAGCTTCAGACTGGAGAGTGCAACTTCAGTAAAGGCAGGAATCTCAGCTTAGAGCTGCTCTGCCTGCACAGGATGCCTAATGGACATAAACAGTTTCCCTGTGTTGGTGTCAGAGGACCTCGCCTTTGGCTGCAAATGCTGAAAAATTATTACCTTTA